TTGTTCTTTCTCGCTTTCGGAATGGAAATGAAAGTCGGGACAGGCACCATGTGGCTCCAGCATATTAGATTTGTAACGTTTCAAAAATCGTGCAAGTGCACGTCAAGTGAACAAAATCCATGTAACTACCCGTCTCTTTGATGCTTCAGTTTTTACGTTACTTTCGTGACTTTCGCTATTTGCGCGAAAATCGCGCAAATCACGAAAGTCAGCGAAACCTGGGACGGATCGCGGACTCTGACATCAGCCTTAGTCCTTACTGTAATGATCGACTGAAAGTTGGCTATCTTTTTTGCCCTCTCTCTTTAACTATAATTGCTTTGAGGAGAGGTTTCCAAAGAAGTTTTCGTTATTTTTAACTTTAACCCATAACGGACGGCCAGTGTATTTTTCGCGTGCGCCACCATGTGGCGCACGCCGCCACCCAGGGTAGGGTTTATGTAGGCTTATGTGAACAGCAGGGGTAAGACGGGGCTAAAGTAGGTGTCGGAGTCTCATCATCCGAAAAAAGAGATTTCCGTTGACGACAAGTTCGTAGCCTACCTTTCCGCTCTAAAACTAGGGTGCAAAGAATGAATGGAAGCTGTAGGTGACATTATCGAAAAATGCGAAACAACAACCCCGAGCAAGGATGTGGCTATATTTAGGGGAAGGGGTCTCGGGACGTGCGAACCATGGGTAAGCCACCCATCAAATAATAAACTTATGTAAAATGTATGTAAAATTTATTGTAGGTTTGTCAAAAATCCAGCCGTCCAGGTCCTGGGAAGATATGTTATTCCACATTGCTGAGAGTATATATGGGTATATTAAGATTGCTAGAAACATTCCAAAAACAAAAGAAATAGTCGTGCGCCACCTTGTGGCGCACGCCGTCCGTTATGGGTTAAAGAGTGCGAGGGATGCCCACACGCATTTCCTTTTGTGTCTTCATGCATATCCACGGGCACCCGCTGTCTCATATTTGAACCTTACCATCTCAGTCCTGTTGTTGTGAAATTTTCAAACAGGTGAAGTACGACTGGTGGAACCACTTTAAGCGGTTCATACTATTTTACTTTGTATTAGTCTTATTTTGGTAGTTTTGTGTGGCTGCCGGTTGATCGTTAGAAGGCACACTCATCCGAACGTGATTTTAAAGCTTCTGTAACTATTCAAACTGACAATTCTTCTGCCAGGAAAGATGAGGTCATTAGTCTCTCCAAACTTGAGACAGGAATCTGAGCTACAGCTCCGGTCAAGTTATTGATCTGTTTGGCGTCCTTCATTGCACACAAGGAGAGGCTGGGGCTTCAATGTGTTCCTTGTTTGTGATGGATTATGGCTTCTCAATCACAGCTATTTTCTTCTGTAACACTTTTTGTATCCAGTGTGTCGTCGTCAGAACAATATTCATGGACTTTGCTTCGTTTTTACAATACCTGCAATCTTTTGTTCTCGCTGATTTCCCTCTTTTTCTTGCTGAACCTTTTTGTTTCGGACTCTGATATGGCTTGACTCAAGTTTACGTTGAAGGCAGCTTTCAGGGTTGAAAAACCGTTGCTGTGCCCCTTTTAATCTTCGGCCTCTTGCAACGTATCTGATCGTAAAGGAACTGACAAGAATCTCGGCCATGAATAACTGTCACATACCATGTACATTATGATTTTCTTCAGAACGTTATGAGAATGCCAGTAGGGATACGGTAATTTAAAGGTTTGGCACGAGTGTTTATTCATGCCGGAGCTTTAATTCGTTTCTAAAACCACGTTGTATCGAATTTGTATAGATGAATGTGTGTGGCCAGAAACCACATTTCTTATGCTCATAATCATTCTGTTCTGGGCCGTGCCAGTCACCGCATGCAGTCGTTCGCTTCATACATTAAGCTTGATGCCTTTCAGAAGTCCTTTCTAGCCTCCTCTCGTTGGGCTCGCGAGTTGCAAGTTTTAAAGGGACTGGTAAAAGTTTCAAGTAAAGAGAATGGGTGATGTAATGTTATCGGAAAAATTGATGTATCAGAGAAATATCTCATGTTCTGTGATGTTTCCAGACATTCTACGCTTAGGTTTTCTCAGCATTGCTTTCTTTTGTCTGTCATATAACTTTGGGCTTCTACAACCGACTGGAAGTGGATGTCACACAAGGAAATTCCCGGTGCAAATTTTGGCTCGAGCAACCACGACCTATATTTTTGATATACTTTTATTGGTGTCTTCTTGACAGATGGTTCTGGTTTATTTCTACCTCAGCGTAATGTAAGCATACTGGAAATGTGAATAATTAGATATATAGAAGACATAAAGCATTCGGCGCTCTAATCCCTTTTCTTATCGTAGAAAAGCATTTTACTTCCACTCAGAATCGCAGTAGTCTGAATGCCATTTGGCGTTGCAATGACTTGCGAAACAGGCAAGTACAAATAATTCCGTGACGATCTTGGTACAATTTACCGAACCCATGGTGTGAAAAGCCCTTCTGCGACACTAAATTCTCAGTTTGGCCGCAGGGTACATGGCAGGAATACATCCTTGCCCACCCTGTGAACAAAAATAAGTGTAAATGGAGTTCTAATCACTGCCCATCCCAAGTTAAGCAAGAGTAAGTGATATAGTCTTGAAAAAGTTCTTGCGTTGAGCGTTGTCAGTATTTCTATTTTTTATAAGTTATACAATTGACTGTGCTTCCGGGCTCTTCAAAGCGGATCGCTGGGAAGTGAAATTGCGTAGTCGAAATCTTCTATTGCGGTTTAGTTTCCAAGAACCTGACTATTCTTCAGCAAAATTTTGCTGATGCTGCATTCTGAAAAATTGTAATTCTCTTTGAGCTGCTTTAAAATAGCCTTAAAATGTGTAAGGAAGAGCGTTGCTGAAGATCCTGGGTCAAAATTCGAAATGCGATAGGAATGGCTTTGGAAATTTGCAGTCTATTCTTATCGGTCATAAATTTCTCGCGGCAACCATTAACATAACCTGTTATTCAGTTGCGGGTTTTCTTGAATGCTTGACAAATTGATGTTTAAGAGCAGAAACCGGTCCACTGTTAACTGTTCAATAGTTTATTTCACAGTCAACAGAATATGCACTGCTGTGATGGTCAGTGATTTCACCTAGGGTTTCCATTACTTTTAACCCTTTCCGGACCGCGCACTTTTTGCGCTCACGGCCGCATGCTGCGCGGCAAGCATAAATATCATATATTTAATCTGTATTCCCACTAAAGCCATTATTTTGTCTCGTTTATGTCTTTGTCATGTCTCGAAGAATATATAAGATTAATTTGACAGAAAACTGTTTTGCAAAAAAAGGGAAAGGGCCATAAAAAGGGAGGAAGGGACGAAAATTGTTCAAAATAAGTTGGTATGGAGAAAAAGGGAGTAGAACGTGCCCAAAACGATTGGATCCATAAGAATCAGATACGACGAGCAGGATATTTCACAAATTCTTCGTTTTTAAGTGTTTTCAAGCGAACTACAACTGTTTTCTTTGAGCCCAAAGTGGAAGTCCATTTACTCTTTGGTTATTTTAGAACCTAGATTAAACCTAAAGTCTAGGTTTTTTCATACATATGGCATGAGTCTGTTACATAGGTATGTAACAACATAAAATATTTTATCGAAAAACCAAACTCTTGGAAAAATCAGCTCTTGAAGTTCCTGACACACCATGTGTGTCAGGCGGTCCGGAAAGGGTTAAACACTGTCTTTTTTTGAAGTATAGTAATGCGCCTTTCTCATGAACTTAATCCTGACAAACTAGACAACTAAGCAAGCGGACGCAGCACTGCTTGCATTTTTATAGGGCATACATCGCTCTTGCGTGTTAGGTATTAAGTGAGGTTGATGTCAGACTTCGCTAATGACAATCGTGATCGTAGTCACGAGGCTGGGCGGGTGCCGCAGTGCAAGCATTACGGATCAGTACGACATGCCCCAGTTGCAACTGTGAGCGCAAATCTGCGCCTGCTCTTCACTGTCTCTCTTCACTGACCTGGTCGTTTTTGATAGAATTTCTCATATTTTCTTGCGAACATAACTTGTTCTATGAAGCAACAACCCCAGATGAAGATGTTCTGTCTGTGAGAGGGTAGCTCGACTCTGACACCCACCTGATACGCTTCACAATTCGTATTGGACCCTTTTTTGCCCACTTCGTAGTAATTTCTATGCATTAGCAGAAAGAAACAGTCAATTAGCACCCAAGAGACGTAGTCGAGCTAGACTAAGAAAATTAGAAGCTCGTAGCAAAACGGAAGTCGATGAACCGAAAAGAATGGATGAGACGTCCGTCAAGAACCTAGCAATTTTGTCGAGCGATGCGACAGCTGTCACCTGTGACGGAAGTGCTGAACGACACGCGTATTCTCGCGCCGCGGCGTTCGGCGGTCTTTGCGATGTCGGACCGCTACCGGGGTCGCAAGGTCGACCGTGTAGTGAACTCCAAGCGAATATCGAGGCAGTCGTAAAGTGTAACCGCAGCTTAAGACCCGCTTCATATGGGCAAGATAGCCATATTAATTGACGCTGTTCTCCTGTTTTCCCAAAATGCTGAGCGTGAACGCGCCTAATGTTCGCATTGGTCAAATATTCATTCTGGTTACCCATCAGTGACTTTTTTCACTCCTAATCGAGTTAAGAGAAGCTCAGTGCAGAGCGTTTTCTGTTGCCTTCTTGCACTAGGCTGATATTTACCGACTTGTTTTTTGTGTAATAGTTGAAGATGGACAAGAACGAGGAACAGCTACGTCATTGTTCACTCATTGTCTAGTAATGAAACAAGAGGAAGAATGTGCTCGCTTGAAAAATTTAATTGTTTTTTTAGAGAGTATTTAGGTCATTATCGTGTTTATAGCTGTTCGCATAGTCCTATTATTGATATGGAATGAATTGCCTATATTAGATCATGACGCCATTTATGAATATTTATGTCTCAGAAATGGTGATAGTAAGATTGATTGCCCAGATCCAAATTTTATCATTGGTGATTTAGATTGGAAGAACGTAAGGGAAATGCGGCGCAGTAATTGCTGCCTTTTGCAGAAATCCCATTTTTTGCGAGGGTAGGAAATCTCCAGGGTGATCCATTTCGCTTCCGCTTTACACCCACCTCGAGCTTCCTCTTTCTGCGAAAAACTAGATTGTATTATACGGAACGAACTGTTGCATCGCAATACCCCTCCCCTTACTATGATGAGACCCAACTTTATATTTTGCTTGATGTTGTTTTGCCGTACAGGGTGTTACAATGGAACTTCTTCATTTGCCGACGTTCCAAACAACTCGTCATCTACAGAACCTGCGCTTCCACCAGCGCTATAAGTTCATCAGTTCCTTGGAATACTGCGGAATTTTGTCGGTCATTTTCCTCGAAAAAGCTCACCCATCTGTCCATCTGTTCGAGGAGGAACTGAGCTGACCTGGCGCTGCTGGAGCTGCAGACGTATTGAAGGCGGTGGGTTATCCTAACCGTCGATCGAATGAAAGAGTTCCATCGTTACAATCTATATATTGCTTAAGCTGATGTCAGAGTCCGCAATCCGCCCCAGGTATTCGCGCGAATAGCAAAAATCGCAAGTGCCCTTTTTGAACGTCGTCATTCAGCCATCACCATCAAAAAGAAATAGCGAAACTTGCGACGGATCGTGGACTCTGACATCATCATAGGAGGTGCACAAATAACATGTCAACATTGGATCCAGATTCGGAAGAACGCAAATGGAATTTCGCTTAAAAACTTTATACAATTTACTGGTGAAATCGCTGACAGTTTGTAGTACTTGATAGCAAAGAAAGTTAAAAGTGGTACAGAAAAAAACAAGCAGTAGGAAGACCTGCAATGTGCCAAAGCCATCATGATGTAAATTTTTTGCAAATGTGCGAGTTCAGATATCACATTTGCATGGCGACGATTGTTGTAAGTGGACGTAAAATGTGGAAGCATTTCCCCCTTGTGCATGTTGCCATATTTGTAGCTGTTTTCTATTTATTGGAAACTGACAACAATTAGCAGTGCATCTCGATCGTCGTGTTTTCGTGTTGAATTTGTCAACGCGTTTTTGCTCTTTAATCTGTAAATTCATCCGCTTAGTTTCAGAGAGCGGCTTTGCCGAGCGAGCTAGACATGCTTCTGTTCTGAGCAGGAAACAGAAGACTGATAATGAGGTAATAGTTTCATTTGGCTTGTCCTTAATCCTTGCAAATCCTGCAGTAATGCATATCGATGAGTTGCTGCTTTGTTCTTCGTCTTCACGTTCATGTGCTTAGTTTAATAGGAGAGCATTTTGAGTTGTGTTTTTGTTCGTTTTGAGTTCATAGACCATGACCGTTTCGAGTTCAAAGACCGTATTTTGAGTTGATTGATGTGCAAGATTTGAGTCGTGCATTCTATTCAAATTTTATGAAGAGCTCTTCTGAAACGCATGGGGGGTAATCGCTATCAACTCATTTTTCTAATATTTATGCCATCCACTTTAGCAAGAGCTAATAAAAAAGGGCTAATGCATCAGTAATTCCGATTCGTTGACTAGATCGAGAATAGAGGAACTTTGTTCAGGATTTGCTGCTCGGATTTGGCAATACATGGAGTGATTACCGCAGGCCTTGCAAACTTCTTTTACAATGTAACTGGTGAAGAAGCGGAGCGGCTGCTACGACAGTATGGTTCAGATGGGGAATTTTTAGCACGACCGAGTGAATCTCAGCCGCTCAACTTCACTCTCTCAATATTAGCTGAAAATGTTCACGTGAATTTAATCCATTGCGGAAGATCACATGGTGAGATTCATTCTTCAATTGTGCCACACATTTTCCCTTTAGGGCGATTGCTATACCAGTCAGTGTTTCCAAGTCAGAAGAAAGGAGCGCTAAAGCATTGAGTGGGAAAAGTTGGACCTATTACGTGGTTTTCCTTTGTTGTGTACGGAACGATCATAAAATGGCAAAATGCGGGAGTAGATAGAAACAATCGAGTGTAATTTTCTTTCAAGCAATTATTTCAGTTCGTGGAAAGATTACGCATGTGAAATTCAGAGAACAGCGTATGCTATACGAAGTTATTACGGAGGGGGGCTCTTAAATTTTTTATTGTCTGTATTATTCGACGTTCCATTTCGGAAGAGTGTGGTGCTCTATTGCTTAGTATCCATAATTACTCAATTTTTTAGGTGAATCGTTTGCGTCGCTAAGTGAGTTGGTCCAGTTCTATATTGACAATCCAGAACAGCTTCAAGAAAGAAATGGAGAGTCCATCATTATGAAGTATGTTGACGACTTTAACATTTGTCCCATTATCTTCTGAGGTTTTTTCATTCTTTCCATTTTACTGTAAGGGAAGGCTATTTTTCGATAAAATAAGTTACGAGCCAGTGCAGACAGAGTGCTGTTTAGCCATCTGGCGTGAAGCACGTGCTCGCAGAAACCGCCAAGATCTTGGTTCAGCAATGATTCCCCACTATGGGCATGCATGTGTGCGTGCACAAAGGTTTGTGGAAGCGTAGCTCTGCGTGGGTTCCAATTGTTTTTGGAGGGACGGAATGTTCGAAGGTTGGAAATTTTCGTAAAAGTATCTCATGGGAATCATTTGGGTAATGAGCAGCGTATAACTTCGTATAAGCTGTGGCAAAAAAAAAATAAGTCCCACTTCTAGTTTAAACGTTGACAACAGCGTGAACTGGACGCTACACCTTTAGAGCGCATTGGGACACGTCCAGCAATGCGCTCACACAGCGGTAGAATGTTTTTTCGCAGGCGCTTACTTCTGTGTTTTCAAAATTTGTGCCAATTATATAGTCATAATGGCACATGGACGCGACCAAAGTGGTCAGAGTTCTGCGGTACATCGCGCGATTCGCGCGAACCGCAAAAACGCAAGTGTCTCACCATGAACATTTGCAATAAGGATATGAAACAAGTGGAATCATGAACAGTCGTCATTCAACCATCATCACCAAGCAGAAATTGCTGCGGGATTGGAGAGCACCTCGCAGTTGATCGAGGAAGATGTGATTTCTGTGAGCCGTCGCGCAATGCGCGCGCATCGCGGTCTCTGACACCAGCCTAGGCGGCGTGGTTAAACGATGGTTCATTCATTCATTCATTTATTACATGAGCAAGTGCATCATGTGAAACATTGAGCAGAAACCATTAAAAACAGCATCAAACAACGTGAACTCATCAAGATGGTAAGAACTTTTGAAAAAAAAAAAAACGACTGACTTTGTATAAACAAAACAAAAAAATTAAAAAATTTAAAAGTACGAAATGTAACTGTGAAAAGACATATGAACGGAAAGGAAAACAGGGAAGGGAGAGAGAAGCGAAAAAGAAGCAGTTTACAGTGGAAGTTGGGTCACTAGTTTCCGAAACTGAGCCAACGTTTTAGGCATGGCCCCCCGCTTAACAACATGTGTCGTGGTTGATCTTTATTTCAAGCTTTTCCAGTTTTTGCACGTGTTTTCATTCTTACTTTTATAAAAATGTATCATCATGGTAGGTAAGAAATTTGAGCGCTAAGCAATATTGAGTTGAAGACTAGAATAATTTTGGTTCTCCTATTTTTTTGATGTAGTGCGTTTTAGGCGACCTATCTCTATTCCATTGTTTGAGCCAGCGGCGCAGGAAGCTCGCGCTCCAGCTTCACAACGTTGGTTCCATGCTAATATCACGGGTACTGAAGCAGTTGAATTACTAACGAAGGAAAAACAATGGACGTATTTGGTCAGGTGAGGCCTTATTATTCTTGTGCTTTCTTGTGCTTGGCGTAATTTATAGTCCATCTTGAGATAATCTTCATAAAGGCAACCTTTTTATTCATAGGTTGTCCTTGCCATTTACTTTTTCATCTGCAATATTTTTGGGGATAGTTTTGAATCATTCACTGTTAAATGTGTGTGAACAGTGTTCAATACTCTTTCTGGGGCATTTCTGCCACAGCATTTCGCAGCGATTATAGCGAAAAAAATCGTCTTCCACTTTGTAAGAGTATGTTCGACTGCTCCTGCTTTCAAAAGCTCGGAATGTGCGCCGATGGTAACGACGCGGTAAGAAGCCTTCGGACTGCGATGGACCTACCAGCTGTCTTCCACAACATGGCAGTTATTTGGTAGCCGATGCCAAGAAACAAGAAAAAACCACGAATTTGTTCAGTGTATTGCACTGGCACCAACATGCCAGCATCTGTTGCTGTCGAATCAACCGAAAGAGGGGTAGCCTGATGATACAGACTTACTCGGAAAAATCTTCTTCGAATCTTCGCCAAAATCTCAAGGATTTTAGCGAATGACATCCATAAGTCGGTTGCTCAAAGGCAATATGTTGGCAGTAATGGTGTGGCATATATTAGTGGGTTGTTGACTATGCAAAGGAAGAAAGGTAAGTCGAAAACACTTGAAAATGCGCAAAAACTTTTCCGACAACCTATTATAATTATACCGATTGATAAAATGAAAGCGATCGTGTTGATTTTGTACGGCAGCAGTAGTCGTCAATTGTATCAGTCGTGGGTATAAATAACAAGGTTTACTTACCCGGAAAGCTCATTTTTCCTCGCTCCTCAAGTGCGAAGTGATCTTTCCGGACTTGACGTACAATGCATGTACATATAGCACGCACATCGTCATTATCCCTCTTGGTTGGGTCGGTCCTTACTTACTGAAATTCCTTCTTAGTGTTCTCTACGAATTGCGGACAAGCTTTGTTCCCCTAGGACTCTGCAAAAAAAACCTCGATTGTCAGAGCTCGATCATTCTGCGAATTATTTGATGGAGATGGGGGCCGCTCTGAACTAGTAAACTCGAGTTTTCTCGTGTGGCATCATGTGCTCCCTGATGGCATGCGAAGAGGGCAATGCATTCATGCATTTGAGCCAGGAATACGTGCATTTTGTCATTTGAGATGTACATAGTTTTTATTGTGAACTGATTCCAAAAGCAAAGACTTTGTCTATGTTGATTGACTGCTTGGCGTGAGAATTTTTGTCATGATCGTATATATTTTACATTGTTTTCAGACTACAATTACCCTTGGTAAAAAGTACAAGAAAATGGAGTGATTCAGATTTTAAATAGCCTCTCTCTAAGTTTTGTGATAACCTGCCCACTGTTTTTAATTATAATCAGAAAAGACTGAAGCTTCTCAGAAGATTTTTGTGACATTATACGAAGTTATACGAGAAGCGTATGAATGAACTTGATTGAATTTTCAGGGAGAGTCAGCGAGCTCCTGCCTGTTTCCTATGCCATAACTGTGAAAACAACAGATGATCACGTTGTACATATTTTGATTCAAAAGAAGGCTGATGTGAGTTCAGCTCCTTGGAAATTCTCAATGATTTAGGGTGGATATCTCAATATTTTCCCGGAATTCTACAAACTTGTGTTCAGACTAGGAATGTACCATGTAGGTGAGTGGGTGATGATTTCGAACGAGTTTGGTGAACTTCATAGCCCATTATGAATAATAACGCTGCTCCTTTTTCCCTTCACGTCGAGAAGAAAATTGGTCATCTACTTGTTGAATGCGCTGAAAAAACATAACTATTTATTTATAACTCCTGTAATTAAGAAATACAACTGAGGCCGCGTTTGGGTGGAAGTGGAATCAGAACGGAAGTGGAATAAATCTACGATGTAGACGGTAATGTCAAAGAATTGTGCACGAAGTACGATAGAAATGTCCAAAGTGTGTTGCCATCTACGAAACTCACTATATTATAGAGTGCTAGTATTCTTCACACATCACTACCTCAAATTCCTCTAAGAAGCCAGACTTCTTGGTGACTGGATCGATTTCCTCTAACAGGCGAATACGTTCGTCAATTGCATCCGCCGGAACGCAAGTTGACGGAACTAGCTGAAGGCATAGAAATCGTCGGAAGAAAATTACCGTAAGAATCGTGAAAAGGAAATGATCTCACTGAACTTACATTCATCAAATGAACCACTCGTTGGCTACCCTCTTCAACCATTGGGTTATTATTATAATGGGCTAGAAGTTCACCAACCGTTCGAAATTCATCACCACCACCTACATGGTACATTCCAGTCTGAACATAAGTTTGAAAAATCCGGGAAAATATCGAGATCACCCTAAATCATTGAGAATTTCCAAGGAGCTAAACTCACATCAGCCTTCTTTTGAATCAAAATATGTACAACGTGATCATCTGTTGTTTTCACAGTTATGGCATAGGAACCAGGAGCTCGCTGACTCTCCCTGAAAATTCAATCAAGTTCATTCATACGCTTCAGGATTCGATAAGTTCGGAACACTATGCAATAAAGAACTTCTGGGAAACTTAGATTTTCTGATAGTAATGAATGTACTGGGCAGGTTATCACAAAATTAAGTGAGGTGATTCAAAAGTCTGAGAAGTGCTCCATCTTTCTTGTACTTTACCAGGGTCATGCAGTTCTGAGAAAAAAAAGTCAAAATATATCG